TATATAGAGCTGGGTTGTTTTCGATGTTCGGGTGTGAGCAGGTTTTCTCCGAGTGATCTAGCGCTTGATCGGTGCTTGGCTTCTTGAACGAAAGAGAGGTGGAGAAATCCTCTATCTTGTTCTTGTTATTCGAGGAAGATGATCGTAAGTGATTGTCTGTTGGAAGCGTGATTTGTGCCATAAGATCATGTACTTTTGCAAAGCTTAGCTATATGCTGGATATGCAGATATTTCTCTCCTAATTAGAATAGGAAGATTTTTGCATTGATTGTTTGGTGTTCTTTGGTTGGGCATTCCTGTTTCTTTGGTTTTACCGAAAACAGCAGCTCTTCTTCAAGGATAAAGAGAACGATACAAAAGAGAACGACGCAAAAGATAACGAGCGTACAAGAAGAAATCAACGAAAAAATTGCATTATTCAACCACAAGCTCTTGAATGCATCCCGGTTGGTTTTTTATTTCTTGAAAATATGAGCCTTAAGACAATATCTTCTTCGTTCATTAGGCTTGCTCCCTAACCCAGTAATTTATATGTGGAGATAGTCGTATAAGGCTGAATAAGAAAGTTATGCAAAAGGTAAAATCATATATTACAGAATATGACCTCATGAAAACTTTCCATGAAATAAAAGATACACAAGCTATGGCTCTAAACTATCTTAAATATGAATTTAAGACTTTTCAAATATATGGTGGGTCTGTGTGAAGTTTTTAGCCATCCTCATGGGCTGGTTAAGTTTTGGTGAGGCATTTAGGTGGCTCACGATATGTTTTCAGGCTCAGGGGCAGATTTACCATGGGGGTCTGGGGGCACGGCCCCCACTGACTATATAATTAATGCTTAATTAAATTTATTTATGACTACTTAATTACAATTAAAAGCAGTTTTAGGATGTTTTTTTTATTTTACAATTCCTGATGCTCTACTCTACGCCTCCTTTTTACGATAAATTATTCTGTGTAGACCGGAAGTCATCCAGAGACCAATCAGAGTTTGCCACGTCAGCTGTACCGATCCACAATACCGAGCAAGCGGTGATGTAGCGCACTCTGATTGGTCTCCCGACGACGTTCTACATCTGCACAGAATAATTAATCCCTTTTTATACAGGAAGAAGACCTAACCGAACAGCAAACGCACGCCTTAATCAGGTTATTCATTCATAGATCAATTAGCAATTTCTATTGTATCTGAGTAGCTTTTATTTTAAGTAAATGCATATATGCAATTTGAGTAATAACAATTTAAAAGATCATCATATGCTATTTATTTGACTAAATGTGAGTTAACTTTATTTTATCAAAAGATCTGTACACTTTACCATTTGAATTTAGATAGGACATAAATGAGTTTTATCGGCCAAAAATGCGAACAAACAATTAATTATATATTCAAAGAATGAACACATAAATGAGTATTAGCAAAATGAATAACTAATAAAAAAGACATTCTTCAGTTTTGTATTACGGCTACGAATATTCATATATCTTTTCCTTATTAAGAATTCTCAATTTAAACATGTTTACCTTCTTCACTTCAACCGAAAATAGAAGTTCTGAAGGACTCGCTAAATACCTTCTTCATAGGGTTGCAAGCGAACCAAACGTTCAACGAGCTACTCGTTGTTCGGTTCGATTAAAGCTCGTTTGTGATTGTTTAATTAACTAAACAAATAAACTTGAACAATATTTTAAATACTCGATTCTTAAATAAACAAACTTGAACACTAATGCGTTCGGCACATTTATGTTCGTGAACAACATCATTTGAAGTTCGTGAACAAGCTCGACATTAAGCTCGATAAGAAGCTCGATAAAAGCTTAATTCGTGTTCGATTTTGAGTTTCTCGGCTCGGCTCGGCTCGGCTCGATTCGTTTGCAGCCCTACTTCTTCACTCATTATTCATGTTCGATAGGAAGTCACGCGAGATCTTGTCATCACTGGCGGGGAGAAGTAGACCTACGAGGCACGAGCCCCCCAAATATTTGGAAAATTTCCTTTGCCACCCACAACTCCCTCCCGCCCACCCATGTCTTCGCCGAATGGGCGTCGGTGAGTCGACTCTTCTCTTCTGATTTTTTTTTTTAAATAGCTTAAAGCTCAGCCGCCTAAGAACTAAACCTAATACGGTGGCTTTTGCTCTTTCTCCTCTAAGCCATTTTGTCTTCCATGTTGGCTGTGGACTGTAGTGTTGTTGATTTATGCTGAGGTAATTCTTATTCTTCATCTTGTTCCTCTATGACTTCTTCCTCTTCTTCTCTTTTAAGTTTATTCTCTACTCACTTCATTGAAATCATTTATTAATTTTTTAATTTCGCCTTGCTTTATTCTCTACTAGATTTATTATATCTCCCGATTGAGACATTTATGAAAAAAAAGTAGTTTTGCATAATTCATTTGGTAATTAGCAAAGTGTTTAAGAATTAACTTTGTTTTTCTTTTAATAATTGCTGGTTCCACAAAACGGCTTGAAGAATATGATCAGTAATTAGTGAAATTGTTAGGAAGTTATTGCAATTGCTCTGAATGTTTTTTTACTCAACTTTGTTTGATCATAGAAAGAACAAAATATGGACATTTGAATATTTTGAAAGTTCAATTATCCAAAAATTCTATTTTGACTCCATTGGAAAATTCATGGAAGTTGTATATGCTGATCAACGCCTGATTTTCTTTTTTCAAATTATAAGATTAAACTTCTATGGAGAAATATTTTAAGAGATTATCAAAATCAAATTTATCAACACCTTCACTTCAGGTAAATAAAAATGATGAAGAGCAAAATTGAAACTGGTATTGAATAAAAAAGATGGTCACAAGCCCGGATGAAAAAAATTGAGGGAATTTTTCAAAATATTATTTTGGGTCATCGCTATAAAAAATTTCTTGCTCTGCCACTACTCGTCGTGATGGTTCGTTTCTTCATTTGCTATTAAAGACCTTCACTCATTATTCATGTTGGATTGGAGGTCACACGAGAGCTCACTGTGATAGTTATTTTCTTCCTTTGCTATCAAGCCAGTTTGCTTACTATGACGTCGTTGGCTTCACGTGCTTCACGTGAAGAAGAGTTCTGAAAGAGTTGCGAACGAATGTTCTTTGCCTTCTTCTGTGACGTTATTCCTATAGGAACGGATGTCACGATGAGAGCTCACCTTATTTTGAAACTTACAGTTTGTGAGTTTTTTGTGAAGAAGATTTTTGAAATAGTCACTAAAGAAGCTTTTTCACCTTCTTCTCCTGTCAATCAGAAGTCATAAGTGGGAAGTAATGATTTTTTTCTCTGGCATGCATCTTCGGCTATTCTCCACCATCTTGCTTTAATTTTTGGTGAAGATATGTAAGAACTCCAACAATTTGGCTCTCTTTATTCATTTGCTTTTATTTCCTTCTGTGACGTTGTAGTTGAATTCATGTTATATATTTTGGTCGGAGGAATTTATAAGCAAACAAGTATGTGTTCTTATTCGTGTTCTCTTTTTCCTCTTATTCTCATCTCAATTCATGCAATAATAGAGAAAAAGATTGAGCTGTGTTTTTTCTTCATGCAATCATCTGACCCAAGAGTTAGAATTTGTATGATAATGATGTGTTGTATTTTATTTTTTTATATAAATGTTTTGTATTGTTGTATTTTTTATTTTGTTGTATAATAATGTTGTGTTTCCTTATGTTATTATTATTGTATTTTATTTTCTTTATGTGTTATTTCAATGGGTTGATGAATCTACTGTTATTTTTTAAAATAATCCATATGTGATGACTATTGATCATATTCATTAATGAATTTTGATACCTATTACAAAAATAACGTAATTTATTCTGCATTTTTTGGACTAATTCTCCTAAATTTCTTTTGATTGTATGTATATTTCTTGATGAATTGTGCAGATATCACTTAATGAATTTAACATATTATTGTTTGTGTTGTAATATAATTAATTTAAATCTTTAATGACTACTGAGTTGGTGTTATTTATATTACTAATTTTCTTATTAAAGAATTTTATTGTTAATATATACTTTCATTTTAATTCTTTTCTATTTTATTAATCACTTTCCAACTCATACAATTTATTTATAGTCCATTTTAATTCTGCTTAATTATTTGTATAAAATTTTAACTAAACGTAAATAATACCATTTTAAACTAGTATATAGAAACGTCATTTAATTTTCATGAAACCAAATTCCAATTCATATTTACAACCAATAAGACAAATAGTAAATTCTGTTAAGTTATGTGGAAATTGTTTGACAATGTAATTTAGGATTTAAAGTAGTTAGTTTATTAAATTTAAATTAAATTTATATTTATAATATAAGTTTTTTATTAATTTTAATTTAAATTACCATTGATAAATTACAACTATAACTAGTATAATTAGAAACTAGTTTAACGATTAAATAATTTGACTACTAATATAACTATTATTTAGTAGATTAATTATCTAACTTAATTAATAATATAACTTAGAGATATTAAT